ATGTGTGTGTGTGTGTGTGTATGTATATATATAGATACATAGATATATATGTGCTTAAACTATGGTATTTTCCTTCTGTTAAAACCATCTATTCAATTGACACTTTCTTAAATTATGATATTTTGCTTCTGTTTTCTTCATAACATCTTACCATCACAGAAATCTACTCAGTGCCGGTTTTTTTGGAATCACTCCGATCCCCAGTTCCTCGCGATGCCTTCACTTACCTCCTGCAAGGTAACGTTTAGGGTTATGGAGTGTTGTTATATATAAATGTATATATAAATGTATTTGGATCAGTGTTGAATTGTATTAGTACCAATGATTTGGGTGTTCTTCTGTTTTATATGCTAGGGGTTGACGGTTATGAAGTGTTGTATATATATATATATATATATATATATATATATATACATATATATATATATATATTTGTGTGTATGTATGTTTGTATGTTTGTATGTTTGTATGTTGTATNTATATACATATATTATACTATATATATATATATATATATATATATATATATATATATTACTGTTGAATTGTATTACTACCAATGAGTTGGGTGTTCTGGAGCTTTATTTAATGGGCTGATGTTTGATTATAGTATCAGGTTGCTTGCCTTTTGGCGTTGGGTGTATGGCTTCAGTTTCAAACTACCCTAAAGCCTTAACAGATCATATTCGAAATACATTTCGAGAGTTCCCTTCAGACATACTACACCACCACCTAATTGTATTTGGACTCCGTGCGCAATCCAATCCCCTGCCCCTTTGGAAAGAACTCGATCTACAAATGTATTTGTTGATATGTATCTGTCACTTACATATCGCGCACGTATCCACAGACGAGTGGATGCCGAAAACACACGACCGACGTCCGTTTATCACACAGATATCGATTTAACCCTTAAACCCTAAAACCCTAAAACCCTACACTCAAAAACGTAACATTTCCTCAATTCGACATAGTGAATGATCCCACGCCGTTGTGGAAATGGCTTGAGCTGCGGATCAAGAACCGCCGCGAAGGCAAACTACCACTGCCACTCCCGCCAAAACCAAACACACTCACCAACCCCTACACCAAGACTCTCTACACACACCCGTCTACCAGCGACACGCCTACCAATGCAAGCGCAGGCACAGGCACGGGTGGGTGGGTGTCGTCGGATGTACTACATAGCCTATCGTCCGATGCAGAGGTGGGCTTGTTGAAGTTAAGAGAGTACATTTCGATCCTCAGACACAAGCTTCAGGCCGCCGGCAGTACGGTGTCGCGTCCCAACACGCCCCTGAGAAGCCTTGCGGGAGGGACAGGTATACATATATGAATATGACGACGTGCAGTTACATACATATATATATATATATATATATATATATATATATATATATATATATATATATATATATATATATATATATGTATGCGTCTATGTATCTATGTATGTGTATGTATACATGTATGTATGTATGTATGTATGTATGTATATATATATATGCGTGTGCGTGTGCGTGTGCGTGTGCGTATGCGTGTGCGTGTGTGTTTAGTCGAGGTGATGAGCGGCGTACATTTTCACTCTGCACATTGGTAGTGCGATCTTAATGTAAATAGATTGCTCCCATAGATCACAGTTTAGCATTTGAATAGGAGGATATGAATCAGTATATGTATATTCAATGCCTAAGAGCGTACATACATACATACATACATACATACATTCATACATACATACAGTACATACATACATACATTCATACATTATATAGATTTCATTCAGACTCACCCCGCATCCTCACCCAAAACAGGATCCGCAAACACGCAGGCAACGAGCAACACAGCCACCGGAACTCGCTCCAAGACTCCGTCCACTGCTCCGTCTCTGACGGGAGTGAATGTGGGTGGACTGCACAGCCACAACAGTACCGAACATCCACCGGTGTATGGCCGTAGTCCCAATGCATATGCCCTGGGGGGATGGTCTGAGTCTTTAGAGAACCTTCACGCCAGTCCTAGTCCGAGCAAAGCGCATATGTCGATTAAGCTGGCGTCTATTCCAGGGCTGGCGCTGCGTACGGCGAACCTGAAGAACCGGGTCACCAGTGCTATGCCTGCTCACAGACCACATGAGCACACACAATCACACGCACATGTACATGCACATGCACGTGATGTGGATCACCCACCGGCGCGGGGTGATGGAGATGGTGATGGCCCTGGACGAGATGGCGGGCACTCGAGCCAGTGCAAAGGTAGGTGAAGAGGGTTGTCTGGTCTGAAAGGTTGGGGCATTCTTTGTAGTGAAACGTACCAACGAGCAAGTTTATGGTGAAGTCGAGTGTGTTCACAACCGAACAGTAGTCTTTTAGTGCGTAGTGTGTGTGTACACACACGTTTAGTTCATATGCCTGCTCTGTGTTCTGCTCATATACCTACTTGCTTCCCTTTCGATCCAAGCGTTGCTGACTAACGACTATGCATTGACACAATACAGATGCGACGAATGCGGTCGATAACGTTCAGACGGGGTTCTCTACCCAAACAAACACCGCAACAACGGAACAAATAACGGGACAAAAACGGGATATGGCGGGGAGCGATGTCAGCCTGGACTCTCTGCCGCCCGTGTTGCATGATATGCACTTGAATACACTTGCTGCACCCCCACCCACGGCCACTGATCACCCCGTTGGAGATTCTAAAAATAGCCTGGTGGATTTGGTAGGTATGCCTTCGAGTGAGGGGACACACAGTGCTGTGTTGGGTGGGGCGGTCGATGCGCACGTGATCACTGACTCCCTAGACCAGGACTTTTTTACTCCGGGAGGTGGCAGCACGCTCAATTCTAAAAATAGCACCGAATCCGCTAAAAATAGAACGGGTGAGAGGACAGGGAGCGGGACAGGTCGGACAGACACCGCGGCGGACGAACGTACCGCGAGCGAAGGGGGAATCAATAGAAAAGAAGCCAATCCACACACACACACACGCACACGGAAAGGTGCACGCACACGCGCAAAGAATGCGGATAAGGGAAAGGGCAAACATAAACAGACACTATGCGAAGCTCCTGTGTCGCCCTTAGTGCACGCGAAAGAAGCGTCGGTGGACACACACGTACACTCAGCGTACGCAGACACGCCCCGCCACACAGACGACACAGCACACACCTCACGCGCATCGCAGAGGTACTCGAGTGAGGGCAGACTCTCGCGCAGTGAAAGGGCCCATAGGTATTCATCGGGCGCAAGCGCCGACAGCCGCTCAGATTTGTCGGATTTGTCGGATTCGGAGTCGGATTTCGGACCGGATATACCTGGGGACGACCCGACGCTTATGGACACGGAGGGAGAGATAGTGCTAGAGATAGACATCAACCAGCACGCACGCACACTGGCCAATGAGAGCGGATTAGGAGCGAGCACTATAGGTGTGGGGGTTCGTATAGGCATAGTTGTGATTCTTGTGTGCATGCATCTATACATTGCTGTGCTGGTACATGTGTGTATGTGTGTGTATGCATGTATGCGTTGTGTGCATGTCACTGTATGTACATGCACATGTCTGTTGTGTGCATGTCATTGTATGTACATGCACATGTCTGTTGTGTGCATGTCATTGTATGTACATGCACATGTCTGTTGTGTGCATGTCTGTTGTGTGCATGTCATTGTATGTACATGCACATGTATGTTGTGGGCATCTCATTGTATGCACATGCACTTATATGTTGTGTGCATGTCATTGTATGTACATGCGTGGTACTAATGTTGCGATATTTTCAGCGCCGAGCGTGTGCACATACACTGAAGGTCTGTGTGGTGCATCCACACCCAGCTAGCATTGACGTATTCCGTACCGAATGTTTCTGGCCACAACCCCACGGTTCTAAGGGTGTAGGGTTTTAGAGTGTAGCGTTTAGGGTTTTAGCCATGGACACCGAGGCTTCGGACGCGTACAGCTTATGAATACAAAGTGGTACGACGTATAGTGCTCCATCTCAGCTCATCTCAGCTCATCCCAGCACTGCATTGGTTAATCTTCATATTCCTGTTTATGTGTTGGGGTTCAAATCTGTTGTGCACTCATAGTCACATCTGTTCGTGAACACATACGCAGTCGTATTTGAATGCACAAGCACGCACATAGTTGCATATATACACGCACGCTCCCATTGTCACAGTTGTACACGCACACACACGCATCCATACCCCAGCACGTACATACAACTAACACTACACGACCACATGCATGGTAATCCGTATTGTCGCACATACCTACCTACCTATCTACCTACAGATGGAGAACAGATCGCCGGAGCACACGCAGAGCTTGCACGGGAACGGTTTGGTACCGGGGCGGACAGCTGCGACATCTACCCCATCTCATCCAACACCAACACACACACATACGGCCTCACCCGCCCCACCTCACACGCCATTGCACAACCCCACGTGCGTGCGTCTACACGCGCATACACACACGCACACACAGGCAAGCACACACACCCCACAGCCAGCAAGCATGCGCACACACAGGCAGTGGCAGAGAAGGACAGGCGCAGGGGCAGCGCAGATGGGACGACGGACAGAGACAGCTCACGCACAGGCGAACGGGCGAGTGGGGGCGACAGCCGACGGGTCAGTGGTGTCAAAGAGGGCCTCAGGCGAGTGGTCGAGTGCCCCGTGCGACTGCCGGTGCAGCCCTCTGCCGATCTCGCGCGGTTTATCAGAAAGCGACAGCTCAGGTATACAGGGCGAGTGAGTGTTTTTGTATGGATGTGTTGTGTGTAGTACGATGATATGGATATGTATGCGTTCACTCTCGTGTGTGTGCCCATGTATCTACAGGGTGCTTTCTTCTGTTAGGCTGAAGCGATTCATACGCTATACGTGTGTACGCACGTGCACGTGTGTACTCGTCAGTACAATGTGCATCTCCCCTCAAGACCACAACCATACCCATCACTTCCAACACACACACAACCGAGCATGCATGCGTGCGCAATCCATTGCCACTACATCACATGCCACGTGCCTATCAGCCCTCTTCAATATATACACCGTCGTGAGCACAACGTTATGTATAGCGTAGTCTCCACTACCACCGCTCACACGCTTATCCTGCACGTGCATGTGTGTAGGGTCTTCCCCTCTATGGTTGACCACGACGGCCGCTTAGGCCTGCTCGCGGAACAGTCCACTCGCCTCAGCGAAACCGAAGTGGACGCCGTACGCGCAGTTAGACCCAACATGCCCACCCCCAACACCAATCGGTCGTCATGGAAACCGAGAGGCACACTGATAGCCCATCTTTTTGAGCACAAAGGCCCCGTCAACCGCCTGGCGGTGGCGGAGGATAATATGTTCTTCGCCTCGGCATCGGATGATGGGACTGTGAAGGTAGGCACATTGGGTGGTGGACGTTGTAGGTATAAATAACTTCATTGATATTAGTACTGAACTTTGTATTCATGAAACATAGATAAGGTATTCATGAAACAATGATAAATGTATAGAAGGTCTGAATCAAAATGGTAGCACTCATGAGTAGGCGTTGTAGTAGACCGAATGCTTGTAAGCGTGACAGTAGGCATTGGACAATGGGTGTACATTCAGATGTGTGGTAGCACTGTGTGTCCATTCAGATGCGTAACTACCACTCTGCATACGTATGTGCTCGAATCCATGCCCACGCACACCGTCCTTTACATCAAGACAATAGCTCAAGCATCAACCACAACATTTTCTCTGTAGATGTCCTGTAGTATCTCCATCCCATTGTAGTCTCTTTGTACTCCCCTGAGGTGCATGTACGACAGACCTCGTCACAATCTCCTCGTAAACTCTGTAGCACGTACACACTACACGAAGACCCCCTAAAAGACCCCCTACCGTCTGTTCTCCAGATCTGGGATGCTGCCAGGCTGGTCAAAGCCTTTGCCTGTAAGTCATCGCAGACATACAGACCTCCGCCCCCGCGTGAGGGACTGATGGGCGTGCGCCACATCCGGTCGTTGGCCATGTGCGAGTCGTCTCGGTCGATAGCCTGTGTGTCTGTGAGTCCTGACTCAGGTGCCAGCAGCATACACGTCTTCAAGGTGGGGCTGGAGAGCGCAGCCGAGCGCACGGGCCAAGGGAGTGAAGCTACGCATTCAAAGTAGGTAACCGCGCGTTTGTCGTGGGTGTGCATCTGAAACAAAGTATATTCTTTATCTCTGTTCGGTACAATTGAAATCTGTTTTGTTTCTGTCTTGATATGCGAATTATTACGGTGCATAGTGTCTGTGTGATAAGGTCCAGACTACGGTGCAAGTAGTGTGTATGGGTCTAAATGTGGATTGGAGGCGGTTAAGGAACGAAAGGAGTAGTGCCGCCACACGATTGAAGTACTTACGTTCATGTTGTATGTACGTGTATATATGTATATATGTATATACGTTTTAAATGTGTATACATGTATATATATATATATATATATATATATATATATAGTATGTATGTATGTTGTTGTATGTGTCTGCGTGTTGTATATATATATATATGTATATACCGTAGCATTTAGGTGTGAGTTGTGTGGTTCCTGTACGTGATGGCCAGTCCTAGTACATACTCCGCTACAACCAGCCCAAATGTTGTAAAGGTTAACTCTATAGGCTTTGAGGAGAGATCACATTGGGAGAGGGAGGCTACACATCCCGTGGCACCTACGGCGTGTGTCTCTTTCGTTTATAACCTCTAAGCTCTGGTGTATTTTTAAATGTGGTTGCGATAGTTCTTAGCACAAACAGTCGATGGGGCGGCCAATGGGGGGCTATGGGCAGTTCACGGTTCTTTGTGTGTGTATTGTCTTTTGATGTGAGCGTATGGATCAGATATAGATATGAAGGCACACTCACTGTGACAACCCTGCGACCCACACATGCATAACACACACATGCATAACACACACATGCCCGTGACCCGGATACTCGGTAGGCACGGATGAATCAATATATATTGTGTGTTGTCAGCTCTGTTCTCCAACCCGCTAACCCGGCCACTCCCATGGGCACGGGCATAGATACGCACACCCAGAGACCATGTACTCAGTGGACATCGATGAGTTTGATGAGGGCGCCGTGACTGAGGTGGCGCATGTGTACGCCAACGGATGCTCACTGCTAGTGTATATCACTGTGCGTGGGTGTGTTTATGCGGTGGACCTCAGGACCAACCAGACTGTGTGGAAGATCCGCTTGGACCCTTCAGGTGTGTACATGTAGGTAGAAAAGTTTTGTTTATGTATTTCAGTTACATATGCATTGGTTATATTGTATTGTGGATTTTATTTGACTTGTATTGTGTGTATATACATTGCACTGCATATATATACGCCAACGATATCTTTTTATTTGCACTGAATTGTAGGGACAATCTGTTTCTTTCAGTAGGATTTGCGGCGGCCCTTCCGCATTTGATAATCATTTACTCACACCACACAAACATGGTATGGGCGTGGGTAGATTCGTATCTACTTCTAATTCATCCAGTGACGCTTGAGATAGCTTGCTTGCCCCGGCTAGAAATCACGCTACATGTGCGAGTCTGTGCAACCTCTTCAACAAGTGTATATGTAGTATATCCTATATTAAGCTATATATAAGGCTATATGTGTACATGTATATATATGTATTGAATCTACAGGGAACCCAACCCATAACGTGCATACGCTCACGAAGTCGCCTTGTGGCTTGTGCCTGCCTTCCCGTCTGGTAGCATAGCTGCGTGCGGGACAGGGGCGGCTTTAAATAAACACACTCATGCAGTCGCCTCTGCGTGTGTACATCTCCAGGCGAACTTATACCAAGCTAAAGCCTTGTGGATGTGACGGCTTTCCCTCTCTCTCACTCGCGCGTTTCCTACCTTTCCTCCTCGACCCTTCGCGCTACTCGATCATGTCCACACACTCATAGCCACGCCTGCACATGTACCTATAAAGGCCCCCACTTCGCCGTTGACGTACGCACACTTCTTACGCTTGTACGCACCCGTTCTATCCCTCACCAGTGGGGCTTGTAACAGCCTTCCTCATTGACCAAACGCGGTGCTGGATGGTCGTGGGAACGTCTAAGGGCGCGTTGGTTGTGTGTGACATCCGCTTTCGTGTGGCTGTCACCACGTGGTTGCATCCCGGAGGCTATCCAGTGACGCGCATTATACGCGCCGATTACCTCCCAGACACTCAGGTGAGTGGGAGTGGAGTGCGTGCGTGCGATACAATGCGTGCTTATGTGGATGTATTGGTGTTTACAACCTGTACTGAATAATGTGGTTGTATTGGGGTCGTGATGATGTTCGTAGTGATGTTGATGTGTTATTATCTGTGTATGTGTGTATGTGTGTGTTTAGACGCGTAGGTCTCCTCAACGCCGTTCATCATAAGCGCTGGTTCGTTGCTGCCGGAGACTCGGATGAGTGGGATAGTGCCTGCATGCAGTGCATATTCCTGGGTATGTGATTGTATTTGTGTACATTTAAATGTGTCATTCGTGGGTGCGTGCATATATTTGGACATGTTGTGATGTGTCTTCATACGAATTGATGTCTAATTTATGCGCATTCTACTCGCTGATCACCTCCTGGTTACTTTGGGTTGAGCATACCGATGCAGATATATGCCATAAATACTGTCTCGATGTATATATCACACACACACATGACAACACACGCACACTTGTTTGTTCCTGGCCCTTATTATATTGACTAACCGTACGTACCATCTCCTCACCTACATACGCGCGTGTGTGCGGCAGCTGTTTATTGCGTGTGGGCCGTGGGTGACTGTGTGGGACATTGAAACCCGCAAGTGTCTGCGGTTGCTGCGGGTGACTGACTTCGCAGGCAATGCGTCCGAACCAATCCCGGATATGAAACCCGTCCCTTTCGTCTCAGAGTAAGTATAAGGGTTTTAGGGTTTTAAGGTTTAAGTCGATGAACGAAAGGTATACGCATGAATGTGGTTGTGTACGGATCTGTATGTGCTCGCATTGTTCAAGGCCACAGAGAGCCCTATGCGACGAATGACGCTTATCGCACATCGTTCACTGCACGTGTGTGCCAATGCTCTGCTGCGCACACCACCCGAAACAACTGAGTCATCTCTCGCAGCCACTGCAACTGCTAAGTGATCTGTGTACGCCTGCCTCCTCTCATCAATCCATGTAGGTACAACTCCCAGTCCAACACGGGGCACAGCGTCCGGCAGTCACCCAGCACCGACTCATACGACCGACACGGCAGAGACCAATACCACACCATGCAGCAACACACTCCCACACACACGCACGCACACGCACACGCCAGCCCGTACCCAGAAACGTGCGTACCTACTTCGGTATACACCGCCCCAACCCACACGCCACACCCCGCAGCAGCCTTCTCTGGTGTTAACATGTGCGACTCGCCACGCACGGTGCGCGCGCTGGTGTGTCCTCCGGAGACGCCGTACATTCTCACAGCCAGCATGGACAGCACCATCCGCCTGTGGAACCTGTCCAACCCCACACTCTCGTTCCACATCTCGTCGCCATCCATCAACGAGAGCGAGCGACACGCACACCCCGACAGTGTCCCGGTGGGGGGGGGGCACTGCGCCCGCTCGTCGGTCGGATAGTGTGAGTGCGACTGTGGGTCAGGGAGGGTCTAGCACGAGCCTCTATTCCAATTCAAGCTCACAGACGTATGCCGGAATGGACTCAGGTACGCACGCGCACACAAGTAGTGGGGGGGGGGGGCACAGGCCCACAGCCACACCCAACGTATTCGTGGCAGGAGCTGGCTGGTCTGACTGTCATTACAGAAGAGACTGCGCAGAGCAGCACAGCGCCGCCCTCACGAGGCCCATACACCCCCCCAGCCAACCACCGCGGAGGCATCAACGACCTGGCCTATGTCTACCTCAACCCCTTCAGACTTATTGTCAGTGCGGGCGCAGACAGCTCAGTGAAGGTGTGGGTGTAGTGATAAGGATGAGAGAGAGGTTATAGGCACAAGGATCATATCTATCAACCAGGATGTGATCATATCTATCAACCAGGATGTGATCATATCTACCAACCAGGATGTGATCATATCTATCAACCAGGATGTGATCATATCTATCAACCAGGATGTGATCATATCTACCAACCAGGATGTGATCATATCTATCAACCAGGATGTGATCATATCTATCTACCAGGATGTGCTCTTGATTAGACGCTGACTCAGCCAAACACCGTGGCGAAATCTAGTATCTGGCGATACATAGCCCATACACTCAGGTTCATCAAAACGTTGGGCAAACAATTGAACACAACAGAATCGAAGTAGCCAGGAGTGTTCATCCACAGGTTCCATGTGTTTCCTGCCTACCCCCGTGACGAGTACAATGAAGGTAGTAGGTGGCCGCACATGAGTGCACTCAAGAGACCGATATTCCATCCCGTGGGCCCTGTGAGCCCAGAATTCTTGTGTCCTGTGTGCATAGTTTTACCGCCAAAACAAAATAAAAGGGTATCCTCAAAATCAATGTTTCCTCTTTATTGATGTTCACCATTAATATATATATATACATCATTTATTTATTTATATATATATATATATATATATATATATATATATATATATATATATATATATATATATATATATATATATATATATATATATATATATATATATATATATATATATATATATATATATTGTATATATATATATGTGTGTGTATTGTGTATATATATATAT